ATGGCACTGATTCTACTCCCCATGTGGCGGCTGGTCTGGCGTATTCTTGGAAGAGCTGCTTGGCAACAAGGCTCTGCCCCAGGGGCAGGAGTTTCAGGCCTTGGCTGAGCTTTTGAGTCACCTTGGCACATGGCTTGCCAACGTGTGGGCTGCAGGTTCCAAGGATATTCCATTTCGTGCTGCTTGGGCGGCTCAAAGACCCTGCTTTCTGGCGCCGTCAGTTTGGCTGACCAAGCTCGCGATGGACTGGGGACGGTGCAAGCCAAGAACATGAGAGGTCTTTGCCCAAGGGGGCCAGATTGCGTGGCCTTGTGAAGTACCAGTTTGGTGCCCTCAAGGGTCATATGTTCTCTAATTGCATGTATGGTGTTGAAGTCTTCATGCCTGTCCGCGTTTTGCTACGGGGCATTCCACGGTTGCCTGACACACCTGCCGCTCGGGAGGGTCTCCGAGACAAGGTCAAAGCCTAATGCGGGGACCAGCAATGAATCCCAGCATGAGAATTTTGCACGCGCCCTGCGACTGACTGGCCAGTATCCCTGCGCCAAGTCACGCAGACGGTGCAGTACATTGAGGAGGCTGCAGACCCTGTCATCGAGGAGTTCGCGTTACTGCCCACACGTGGGAAGCTAATGAAAACGTGTCATGGCGGGGGTACTATGACCGGGTGGCGAAGTGGCGGGTCGATCATGCTCATGTCCGTGCACGGGCGCTGGAAGAACGAGACTACCGACTCTGTGGCCGAGAGGAGTGGATTGCGATGTCCCGTGTGTTTGCAAGTCATACTGCCACCTGCCTTGGCTCGCTGGCCAGCCGGCCTGCCTCATCCAGTGCGGGTTCAAGCCATCATCAGGCTGACACGGCTGTCCTGGACAGCAGCTCGGATGATGATGCGTCATCATCCTCCACGTCCTCGACCCCCCCCCACTACTGACGTTGCTGGCCCACAGCGGATGATGGAGGCTTTGGTGGGCATCGCAGAGGTGCCACGTTCAGGTTCTCAGCTCCTGTTCCTGGAGCTCTTCAAATGTGGCACCGCCCGGGCTGCAGGTGGACGATGCCACCATGCTTACCTCGCTGATTGAGACCGATGAGAGCCAGACCGGTGATGCTTTAGGCACCTGCTCCACTTCCCAGTTTCAATATCAATGACAGGCTATTTGGGCTGAGTACTGTCCGCGAATGGATGGAGCCGCCAAGCTACTTCATGTACAGGGACGATGGAGGACGTTTGCCTGTGCTGAGTATGGTCCAAGCTCGGTCCTGCCAGCCTTTGAGTGTGCTGGCCAAGGACTCTCTTGGCTTTGGTTGACTTGGTGGAGCGCAACAACACACCAGTCAGGATGCAATGGATGGTCTCCGGCACGCGGTCATGTGTGTATGTGCTTTTCAGTTGGTGTTGTGTTCAATGGACTTTTCGATGGTCCCGCCTCTTTGCGCAGATTTTCGGGCTTGGTTTGCTTTTCTCTGGTTTGCCCTACGGGGCCTTCATTGTCAGACCTTCCGGGTGGGCTGCTTGTCCGCGCAACACCAAGACCTTGTTCACCTTTTGGCACCGTTTACGGGACCCACGGCGGCCGCCTTCTCGCTTCGGCGGGTGGCCGGTCGGTGGTGGGCGCATTGTCTTTGGGCCGCCGATTGCAGCGATGGAGGTGATGGTCGTTTGCAGTGAGTGCTGCCTTCTGGCTGACCCAGGGATGTGACAACCTTCCTTCTTTCAGTATATTATTTGATTACGCTTGAAGTTCTGCACTTCTTGGATGCTCCAGATGATGTATTCATGGGGATTGCCCGTGCATGCTTTCTCCTGGCTAGTCTGTCAGTATTTCCGCATGCTTTGGAGCGCGCTCTGCCCTGCGTATGTCTATTACCTGTCCATGACTTGTCATGTGCGTGTCTTGGTCGCATCTACGAACAAATTTTCTTTTTCCATGGTCGGCTATACTGTTCATGGAATCTGCCGTGGGGTACGGCAATGTGTACTGCGCTTTCGGGATGCACTGTCCTTTCAAATTTCGGCTACGCGATGACTCTACGTTTTCATAATTCGCGGCTTGCGGTACTCCCCCTCGTTGCATGATCTGTACAGGTTTCACTTTTCGGCTCGTCCTGTCTGTGTTTCCGTTTGTCTTGTTGCTTGCTTGTCTGGTTTGGGTGGTTCCCTCTCTTTGTGATGTTCGAGCCTGGGCACTTTTTGAGGCACACGCACCTCTCGCGATGCCCGTACCTGATCTGTTTTGCTGTTGTTTCACCCTTTTCACACGGAGTTGCTTAATGCAGACGTGCGCTCGACGCGGATCGCTGCTAAGGGGCAAAAAAAAAGGAGCTTTCCCAGCCTCGGCCATCTCCGGCTCAGTAGCAAGGAACACAAACTAAAAAAACACCCAATCAATTTCCGTTTTTGGCCCGAAAAAACTGTCATGTCCAAATCGGCTTCCATGGCCTCATGCTGTGGAAGGGACTGCTGCCAGCTGATGTGACCCTCAGCGCTAGTCCTGCTTTGAGCAAGGCAAATGCCATGGTTGGGTTCCCTGCACGCACGCGTTGGATCACACATGGTGGCATTGCAACCTTAGGGCTGTCGCTGCAGCCCACTGCTGCTGCTGCTGCCGCAGTTAATACGGATACGTTGTTGACCTTTCTTTGTTCAAGATGACTCAATTGACTCAATACTGGCCTGGTGTCGCGTGCGCACCAGCCTGCAGAGCCGCGCCGCCCGAGCCCAGCCAGCTCGAGGTGGAGTTCCAGACTTCGCTTTCCACCCGAGGTCGGAATTCTTGACCTTGCCCGAAAGTCATCAAATATGCGTGCGACATGCCCAGCGCAGGATTGAGAAAAATAAGCCTGCGGCCAGCACGGGGGCAATTCCGTGGCCAGCGCAGGATTGACGACGGGCGATTGGATGGTGAGAAACCATGATCCGGAAGCTCCGGAAGTCGTACGGCTGCACGCGTGTCGCACGCATATGGCACGCATGTTGCACCCACAGGATTGCCTCCGTCAGTACAAACGAATGGATGAATGAATGAGTGCACATAAACGAATAATGAATGGAATGAATGAATGAATGAATGAATCAATGAATGAATGAATGAATGAATGAATGAATGAATGAATGAATGAATGAATGAATGAATGAATGAATGAATGAATGAATGAATGAATGAATGAATGAATGAATGAATGAATGAATGAATGAATGAATGAATGAATGAATGAATGAATGAATGAATGAATGAATGAATGAATGAATGAATGAATGAATGAATGAATGAATGAATGAATGAATGAATGAATGAATGAATGAATGAATGAATGAATGAATGAATGAATGAATGAATGAATGAATGAATGAATGAATGAATGAATGAATGAATGAATGAATGAATGAATGAATGAATGAATGAATGAATGAATGAATGAATGAATGAATGAATGAATGAATGAATGAATGAATGAATGAATGAATGAATGAATGAATGAATGAATGAATGAATGAATGAATGAATGAATGAATGAATGAATGAATGAATGAATGAATGAATGAATGAATGAATGAATGAATGAATGAATGAATGAATGAATGAATGAATGAATGAATGAATGAATGAATGAATGAATGAATGAATGAATGAATGAATGAATGAAAGAAATGAAATGAATGAAATGAATGAAATGAATGAAATGAATGAATGAATGAATGAATGAATGAATGAATGAATGAAGGAAGGAAGGAAGGAAGGAAGGAAGGAAGGAAGGAAGGAAGGAAGGAATGCATTGAATGCATTGAATGCATTGAACGCTTGGAACGCATTGAATGCATTGAATGCATTGAACATGCATGAGTGCATGAATGCATGAACGCATGAATGCATGAATGCAGTAATGCATGAATGCATGAGCTGCATGAATGAATGAATGAATGAATGAATGAATGAATGAATGAATGAATGAATGAATGAATGAATGAATGAAATGAATGAATGGCACAATCGTAGTTTTTCAGTACAAAGTGCAGCACGCGAGGTGCACTTGCCCCCAGCACCAGCTAGAAACTGGCAACTTTTAAGTACGAGTGCAGTACGTGAAGCAAACCTCCAGCTGGAGTATCGCAAGCTGAGCAAAGCTCAGGTAACACAAGTTGCATGAACAAGTAATCAGCACGCGACACCGGGGATCGAAACCATACCTCCAACCTCCAACCCTAAGCGCGGCCACTTTCGTTCAGCCCCCCCCGTTGTATGGAATCGGCCTCCGTGAACGTTTATTGAGGCTGATGACCGTGAAGGTCTTTGTTAAAAGTAATTTGTCATTTGAGCACCTGTCAAAACCATCACTGGGCTACATTGCATTATGGTAAACATAAACCAATCCCTCCGACATCCTGAGGGTGTTTTTCATTGTGGTGGACATGAGCCAATCCTTCCGACATCCTGAGAGGTGTTTTTGGACAATGCGGGCCCGGACGGCTACCGCGTCCAAGGTTGTTCAGTTTTGCCAAATCGGGCATGGCATTTGGGTTTGACCGACATGGAAATTGAACCACCTCACGCTGGCAGTTTCAACATGGCCTTTGGGCGGTTGTGGGGGCTGTTCTAATTCTGAAACGGATGAGCACAGACACAGACACATCACCAGATACAGACTTTAAGGTTTTGTGTTTCCTCAATTTGCTTTGCACTATAGTTGCATCAGCATGGGGCAGTGTTTGTGTGTGAGAGTTGCATGATTTGATTGAGTGAGTATCAAAGGGCGTCACACAGTGACCACTTTCATTTTGTGTTTTTGACTCTGTTTGTGTGAGTATGCGGACGGTTGTGTTGTGCTTTCTAGATGCTCCAAGCCAATGTGGACAATAAGCAGACATTGTGGTTCGTGTTGGGTTTCAATGCTTCAACTTTACAACTGCGGTGTACACCGTATTTCCTTCATGACAGTTGCCTGGACTTTTGCTCGCCATGAACACGATATACATTCTTGAAATTGTTCCTGCATGCTGTAGCCATTCGTTGATGAGGTTTTTTTAGATTGCGGTACGGCATCATTCGAGTGAAGTGATCGATGTCGGCCATCGGGGCCAAGTCGGATCTGCTCAACGTCTTGGGCGATGTGAAAGCCAGGGTGCAGGACAAGCTGGGCATCGTGGATTTCCCCATGCCCCAGTTCATTCTGATCGGGCGGCAATCTGTGGGCAAGAGCCGCTTGATCGAAGCGCTGGCGGGGGAGTGCTTCAACTTCATCTCCGGCACCTTGGGAAGCCGCCGGCCGACCGTCTTGGAGTTCCGCCATGCGCCGGGGTACACGGCATCCAAGTGGCGCCCCTGCGAGATGGCGCGTGAAATATGTCTTACCCGTTTTGTTGGCATGTGGCAAGTGAACCTTTGCATCACTGCGTAAGGTACGTGCGGGACAGGAAGACCAATCACTGGACCAACCATCCGATTGAACAAGTCATGAACATCGTGGGTCAAGCCCATGAAGAGTGTGGCACTTCCGTGAGCCATGATGCCATCTACGTGCGAATCGAGTCCAACGCCTGCGTCGACATGCAGATCGTTGACTTGCCCGGCTTCCGGGACTTTGCTCTTGATGAGGGGAAGCAAGAGTTGTGCGACAAGATTGAGAGCTTGGTGATGACGTTCATGCGGGACAAGCGGAATGTGATGCTCTGTGTGGAGCAGGCGGGTGATGCCGCAACCATGTCCACCCTGGCCAAATGCAGGGCATTGGATCCAGACTTCAAGAGGACAATTCTCATTCGCAACAAGCTGGACAAGTACTACAACGACCTCACACCCGATAACGTCAGCAAGTGGGTGGACGGCTTTGGGGACTTGCCCGAGTCCCTGGTGAGGTTCGCGCTGACCCTTCCCTTTTGGAAAGATGGCGACCCCATGCCCAAGCCCTTCAACGAAATCAAAGAGGACATGGTCAAGAATGACATTCAGCAGATGCAGGTGAAGGGATTGAGTGACAAGTACATGGGCACAATTGGTTTCAAGAACTTTGTGATATTTATGGAGAAGCGCATTGAGAACATGTTTGCAGAGGCCATTGATCCGGTGCTTACAAATCTCAAAGATCTGAAATCCACCGCCCAGAACTCGAAGAAGGACTTGGAGACCGAGTACAACGACACGGATCCTCACCGCATTCTGAGCACCACCCGGGATTGCGGCATCTCTTTCGCCACCGCCCTCACACATGTGATGGAAGGGGTACTGGACTTGCAGCCCGTGATGAACTTAGATGAGGATCTTTTTCGGGCTAATATCGCACAGTATCCACCCCCTTGTCTTTTTTGAAATGTTTGCTGGCGAAGGCAAACCCAGACAAAAGAAAGAGAGCAAGAAATAAAGAGAAATCAGATGGGAGCCACTGCAGGAGCTTCGAGCTTTTCACAACTACCATGGCACTTTGGGGTCTTCGCACTTCAGCATGCTGCCATCGGAGGATTTCTGTAGCCTGAACGACTACATCGACTACCTGCGGAACGAGATCCAGATCGGCGCCTTCGACGTGGAGGTGAATGGCGGTGCCCAGTTTAGGCGTTTGATGATGGAGGCACAAACGCCGGAAGCTGAAAATGGGGGATTTTGGATTTTGGACTCTGGTGCCGAATACCTTATGAAAGACCAACATGGCTCGGAAAGCAACCGCAGAAAAGGGGGGGGGGCCTTTTGTTTGGGTTCCGCACCCGTTGAAAATGGGATCAACTAACCAAGAACGGGGTTCCGATTCTCTGTTTGCTTTCTAGGGGAGTTGTCGCGCAGTTGTTCTGTTTTATTTACCTTTCCATTGTTCTGGGCCAGAAGGACGGCTGGAATTCTGTGTGTTTGGCACTCCATGTTTTCGCAACACCCTAAAACCAGACCTTAAACCTGAAACCCCTTGGTCTATCTCTTTTTGAGGTGGAGATCTTTCTGCGCTTCTCGGAGATTGCAGTGGAGATCAAGAAGCGCGACGTGATCCAAGCGCGGGGGGTGTCCATGAGCTCGCTGACCTGGCGGGATGTGGTCGTGAAGCTGCTGAGCCACGAGGCTCATTTGCCGCTCCAGCGGCGGGTGGAGTACGTGGGCGAGCGCATCAAGTGGTTCTTCGAGATCCAGAAGGATGCGGTGCTGGAGTTCATGGAGAAGCTCGAGGGCTCGCCCAACTCGAACTTGTTTTCTCCGCTCTACCCCAAGCACGCGAAGCTGATCAAGCAGAATGCCATGATCAAGCATGCGGTGTGGCAGACCTATGACAAGACCTGCGGTCGCCAGCTGCGGCAGTTCGTGGAGCTCTTTGAGAATATGCTCACCTCGACCTTCTCCAATCCCTGGGTCTTCCTGAAGGGTGCCACCACCCATCCCAGCACCGGCGAGGATTTGTCCGAGGCCATGCTGCCGTCCTTCGACGACACCAAGGAGCGCATCCCGCAGGAGATTGCCAGCAGAAGCGGCATGGAGGCCACCTTGTCTCGATGGCTCACTGACATCCCCACGGAGCCTCATGAGATCGATGAAGCGGTGGACATGGTGCAGATGCTGGTCCTGAAGACTTACAGCTTCATTCGATCTCAGGCATGGGTCTGAAGCCTTCGTCGTATCTCGGGCATCTGCGTCAAGTAGGGGGATTCCAAAGTGGTGGGTTTTTCTGTTCCTTTTGTTTTCCCTTGAACTGAAACCAACCTGAAAAAGGGCATCAAAGAAACAGCGCTTCAGAGATTTCCTCCCCATTCGTTGGAGATCCCTGGCGCTTCCTTTTGGTGTTTTTCCAGGTCTGCGACCAGGTGGAACTGTTTTCAGAGAGCTTCTTCAAGCTGCCAATGATGCGAAGGCTAGAGGAGGACCCGGAAAGTCTATCAGGTGGTGTTCCCTGCAGAAAGCCTTAAACAATTGTGGAGGATCCAGGGCGCCTACTCTAATCTCCGCCGAAAGCGGACACAGCAATCATACCGTACCTTCTCTTTTTGCGATAAGCTGTTTCTGGGCGCCCGTGTTGGTGTCGCAGAAAGGTTGATTGTCCACAGACACGGAGGACATGGCCAAGATCGAATTGACGCCTGAGGACAAGGCTGGGTTTGGGCACACACGTGCGTCAGGATGAGAGCCGATCTGAAAAGAAGCTCCTGTATTTGTTGCACCCGATTGGGGAAGATGCAACATTCAGCGCAGTGGCCTAACATCAAACGACTCTCCATGAGAACGTTTGCTGGAGCTCCTGAGACGCCGTTTTTGGCCTCGGACCCAATTTGCAACATGGCTCGTTGTATTTTGGGAGGTGGTACCTTTTTGGGTGGTTTGAAAGGAAAAGCAAAAGGACAACCACGGGTCCCTTAGAAAAAGACACACCCATATCTTTTGCCAAACAACACATACCAATGGCCCTGCCAATGGCAATTCTGTGCCACCTCAAGCGAGGCTGCACCTGATCCGTTTATTGGAGTGGCGAACAAATTCCTCAATTTAAGGCAATTCCAGATGGGAGAATGTACCTCAACGAGCAGTGGGTACATTCATGCGAGAGAACAAATGACCTGGAACTATGTTGATACGACCTTGAACGGCCAGACCCCTGGTTAATTGCAGTTGGGCTCCCTAGGGTTTTCTTATTCGGTCGGTTTTTTTGGGTCCTTGAGGCCAACTACGAGGCTAGGAGAGAGCGACTGCAGCCAGAGATCCAGGCTGGGAGTGGACACAAAGATGGAGCCGACCAGGTCCCTTTCAAAGGAAACTTGTCTTCCAGACACCCCCCCTCGCAAGGTTCCATGTTACAGGAGGGTATCCGTTTGTCTACGTGACAGTGAACATGTTGAGGGTCCTCAAAATTTCCTTTCGGGGGTTTCTTTCCTTTAAGATATCACCTTAGTTGTTACTTGACTGGTCTATGGCGCATTTGGGGGGGCAATTTGCGTGGACTCTCCAGCCTTTTCAGCCAGAACCAGCACGAATCTCCCAGTCCCCAGTGGGACCAGCATATTTCGACCGCGGCTCACATGGGTGTGTCTCTTTTTGATGGCGCCCCTTGTGGAGTCGTTTCCACCCAAGACCAAAACAGAAGCTGATTGTGTTTGGGGAAGCCACCTACCTACCTACCTACTTACCTACGTACCTGCCTGCCTGCCTGCCTGCCTGCCTGCCTGCCTGCCTGCCTGCCTGCCTGCCTGCCTGCCTGCCTGCCTGCCTGCCTGCCTGCCTGCCTGCCTGCCTGCCTGCCTACCTACCTACCTACCTACCTCCTCCCCACCTGGTGAAATGTGGGTGTTTGTCCAACAGGATAGAAATAGATGTACATGGGCCTGTCTCAATGCTTGTTCTACCTCCCAGGCGCAAACATATTGCGGTGAGAAGAGCTCACATGACTTCAGTGATCCTGCCGCCAAAAATACGGTCAACTATGGGGGCCTTTGTTTGGTTCGCCCCGACAGGGGTCGTGGGTCCCTGACCTCAAGTTCTGGTGACAAAATGATCACCTTCAGTTTTTACACTGCTGTTAACTTGATTAAGCGGATAAACAAAAGCTAGTCCGCCCAACAATAACATGTACAAACTCAGGGGTTGCTAAGAGAATGAAGAGCGACCTTAAATGAACACCCGTAAAGTCAAAGAGACTGGAACTTGGACCAGATCCTGGTGAAACAGATTCCCTAGCCGCTATCGCAAACCATGACGAGATTTTGGGAACATGCTGGGGGTGACATCGAACCCTTCCTCAGGCTTGAAAAGATCAATCGGGGAAGTTCGCAAGGAGAACTCAATGCTGGCCTAGCTCGCTTTCGTGATTAACGTGGAACCTGAAAAGCCATGGTCTTTGAGTCATTTGTGCTTAAACAATCGGACCTCCTTTTTCGGGTTCCATGTTCACACCTCTTTATATTGAGGCGAAGTACCCGCGTTGGAGACCCGTGCCCGGAATTTGCCCATTGGAACTTGATAAAAGTTGACGTCTGACGTCACTTTGTCTCCAAAAGGCCCGGTCCCGCAAGATTTTCACATAATTTTTCCTCCACATCGCTGCGGTCCCGACGTCGGGACGTCCCCCAAGGCTCCACGTCCGGCTCCGTCGTTTTTTGTTTCGAGTTTCGTTTCAGGCGGCTGAGGAGAGCCTTGTGGAGATCGATTGGTGCATCGATCGGCTCCAGGGCTTCAAGCTGAAGTGCGACGCGCGATGAGTCGCGGGCGGTCTCGAGAGTTTCCGGTGAGCGGTGAGCCAACCGAGGGCCCAATGGAGAGAAGAGAAAAGGAGTCAAGACATGGTGATTTGTTTTTTTCCACGCCGACCGGAAATGCAAGGATGTGTCATGAGGTGTTGGGTTGTGTTTAGAATCTTTGAGAAAAAACAACAACACAAGAACACTTGGGCTTGGCGTTGTGCGAGCCACATGTAGGCTCGGGGGCCCTTTGTGAGAGCTCCGAACAACCTGAGTCTTAGGTTGCTGCCAGATGCGCCCAGCTCCGACACAATCCCAGTGGTCGATGTCCCCCCAAGGGAACTCCAGCATCTTGCAAACACAAGGGAGCGCGGCGGAATCCCCCGCCAAGCGAACTGAAGCATATCATCCTGCTACACGAAGGTCTGGGAAAGGGCGTTGCGAAGGTTTAACGGAAGGGCGTCAGCCGCGAAAGGCGGCTGGGCCAATCATTTTCCAGTCGCAAGCACAGGGAGGGCCTGGGAGCGCATAGGCCAACCTCTCAACTCGTCAGTTGGTCAGTGTCAGGGAACATGTGAATTGACTTCTTGTGCTCCCATTGGTTGCAGCTACCTGCCCTTCGAGGGAAAAAAGGGGCTTTGCTTGCGACATGTACTCCTGGCGTGGGTCTTCCAGTTCGATGAGTCTGAAGCGAACTCGCTCCGCCTGGATCTGCAGCGATCGCTTGGGCGCGCCTGTTTGTCAGATGCTAGCGCCAGAGACTCGGCGATCCCATGTGCGGCTGGTGGATACATCCATCGAACCCTTGCAGTTTGTCAATGCTTTACTTACAGATGACATTCCAAGGCAATCTCAGCCTGATGGTGAACTCCTGACGCAGGGTGCTACTTTTCCTTGGTTTCTTGCAAGAGGCTAGTACAGCCATGCTCCGGATCATGTGAGAAGTCTTCAGATCCCTGGAAGCTTGCCCAACTTGGCTCCTTCCAGAAAGCGGATACCCCCGAGAACGTGGAACCCGGAAATCCACTGCCCCACGGCGAAATTTGCAGAATGAACCTTGCTTGGATGTCCAAAAACTGCTTCCCTTGTGAAGAAGGGGCAGGAAGAGAGCAAAACCAGCCCAAACCCGGAGAAAAACAACAACAACTTAGCCGCAACCAGCCCATGGGTTCAAGCAGCAACCGAACACCGGCCGAAAATCAACGAAGGCGCCCAACACCGGGGGAGAAACAACACGAAAAAAGAGAGGGGCAAAAACCTCAACCCCGACCGCGGAGCCTCGCTTCAGGCCATGGGCTCCTCCCGGAGCCGATCGGAGCGTGCGGACCTGAGGATTGGCCGCGCTGATCCCCGGCAGCGGCGCGCGCTGAAAACCCGAGCCACACGAGTTCCCAAGTTCCCGAGTTCCCAAAGAGGGGTTGGAAGATGGAAGAGAACATAAAAAAAGGAAGAAACCACGACTTTCCGGTGCGCCAGCAACAATGTCTCCAGACTCTGACCCAGAGTTAGGCAAAGAAACAAGGCTAGCAAAGGAGGGGCCCGGGTTTCCCCGAAAGGAGATTCCTCTACAATGGCGGTTTGGACAGTTCCATGCTAGACCGGGATGTTTTCTTTGCTTGGACTTTTTTTTTGGAAACAGAGGGCTGTTCGAAGAAAAAAAGAGGACATGTCACCGTCTTCCAAAGCATCGGATTTTCCCCAAGCATCGGCTTTTTCAGAGAAAAACTCGTCTAAAGATCCGCGAGGTTTCAGTAACGACATGATTTGGGTCGCCACGCAATCATAGAGCAGGACGCCAGAGGACAACGCCGGAAGGCGAGAAGCAGATTCCAACACATATATGACAATATGACGATGCTTTAGGAGAGAGAGTACAACAGACAATGAAGATGCTTTCAGGGCTTCTGCAGCTGGAAGGGAGCCAAGGAGCTGCCCACAACATTTAAATTGAAAGAGGGAACCTTTGGGAACTGCTGTGCTCTACTGTTGGATCATGTTTTTAGCTTGTTTTGCTTTTTTTGGTTCCGTTCAGTTTTGGTGCGCCGCTAGAACAGCCGAGGAATTTTGACATACCAAGGGTTGCAAAGTGCACCAGGAGTTCTGTGAGGGGGGTCCCGAAAAGTCCCCTAGGCCGATGAGTCAGGGCCTGCGCTGCGGGTGCGGCAAGCTGCAGCACATGCGCGCGCCAGGGTTCTTGGTTTCCGGCATTCGCTCCGCGGTTTTTCCAAGTGGGTACGTATCAAAACAGGGACTTGGACCCCCCCGACATGGCGGTTTTCCTTTTGGCTCATCTTTAAGCCACCGAACTTAAGGCCAGCGGGCCCTTTGCTCGACCATGGAAGTGGGCAACGCGATTTGGGACTTGAATCCTCTTGAACGGGACGCTCCACTTGTTGGAAAGCGTGTACCTTCATAGATCTTATTCCGCTTCAGTTGAGGCCGCTGTGGGGGAGGAGGAGGTGCGGGAGTTCGTGAATGCGGAGGCCGGCCGTCGGCGCGTCGGCCGCTCTTTTGTCTGGCCGCATTGAGTGCGCCAGGCACAGCTACGAGCACTGGCGGTGCACCCAGACTATCATACCGACGAGGAGCCAAAGAGATTCGGTGGACGTGTGACAGGTTGGCTGCCATAGAATTTAGGGTTGGATTGATGTGGCCATTCACATGATCAAGCAACACTCCGGAAGGAAATCGAGAAAGACTTCCGCCGGGCTGAAACTAGCTGGCAGCACCCTTTTTTCACGTGTATAATCACCATCTACTTTCACCCAGCAGCATTTTCTCGGACTTTTAGATATGTATCGAGAGGGTATCCCGGTTTGCACTGTTCATTCATTCACACACACACACACACCCCTTCGAATTTTGCATCGTCAGGACCGACTCTTCCAGCTGCTGTCCATAGCAAGCACCGCGGTAGATGCTTTGGCATGTTATTGACCGACCTTGAAGTTTCGAATGCGTGGCATTGGCTTAAGTTTTTTTGCAACTTTTCAAATGGAAAAGAAACTTGCTGGTGAGACAAGTAGGGAATGTACGAATGAACCCAGGCTTTGGTCCCCTGAAAGGAAACCACCAGTTGGATGTTTTACAAGGGCCATTCCATTTCTCACCCCCTATCGCACGTTGATGAACCCAGTTGCTCAGTGGTACCCTTTTTTCCTTTTTGTTTGGGGAAGGGTTCCCCTTAAAAGTCATCCAACCAAAACGGATGCCCTTGTTGCCCCATGGAAATCCACTGGGCATCTGAGGGAACACCTCGTGACAGGTGGATCTTGAAAGGTCACCACCAGAAGAATCCAGAGCCAGCGGCTGAGAACGCTCGGCTCGATCCCTACCAGTAAAGTCCGGAGCCGGGGGCGAAAGTTGCAAGCTTAGTGAGCAACTTTAGCTTGGAGCATCCTTCTTCTCCCGTTCTCTCGCTCTCTCTTTCTCTTTCTCCGTCTCTTCTTTCTCATCATTGTTTTCTCTCTTCTTTCTCTGTTTCCTCTTCTCTCTCCTTTTCTTCCTCTTTCCCTCTCTTTCTCTTTCTCGGCAAAGCGCAAAAATGCGAAAGCCAACCACAAGTTTTTTGGGGTCGACCCACCTAATCCAAAAACACACAAACTTTAGTTTGCTTTTGGGAGGGCTAGTGCCAAAATTGCTGACGGAAAATCCCAAAGCCAAAATCCCCTGAGAAAACAAAGGAAAAACAAACACAGAACACCATACATGCGGAATAATATTCTTTTTTCCCAGCCCCAAATTTTCTTTAGTTTTGGGTTTTCTCGAGTTTTTTTGTTTCTTTTTGTGTTTTTCTTTGTTTTTTCCCCAGTTTCTTCTTTCTTTTTTCCATCATCCCTCGCCAACAGCAAAACAAAGCACCGAGTGCTTTTTTGGTTTGTGGACATTTGGCCTTCTAAACAACCGCAGAAGCCTCGCGTTTATTTCGCTTTGGCTGAGGGAAACCGTCAAAGAAAAGCTGAGGGAAAACCCAACAAAAGCCTCGAGCAAACCGTCTCAACCGTTCGAGCTGAAGCCAAAGATTCTGCAGAGATGGTCTTTTTGTTGGTCTTATCCGTGTTCATTTTGTTTTTTAATGGTTTACTATGGAATGCGCAAATTCTGTATTGAATGGACTTGCATGCATAAGGAAGAGTGAAATCGAGCTTCCATATAGTTTATTTATAGCACATGTCCAACAAAACGTGAAACAAAGGGTACAACGCAAGAAAATACTGTAATCATGCATGCCTTTTTGGCACGCCCAACTCAACGTGGAATGGACCAGAATCCGGTCAGGGGTTTTTGCACACACACACACAGACACACTTTCATGATTCTGCATCTTAAACCTCACCGTCTGCAACTCATTTTTTTCAAAAAGCACGATACCATGCAGTCTAGCATTGACCATGTGCTCTGTCAAGGCACAAGAACTATGTGAAAGGACTTCAAGAAGCAAAAGGATCATGGGGGCGGGGGGCTGACCATAAAAAATCATATGGCTGTGGGTCAAAGTCAATGGGATCCCATGTTTGGGTAGGTGCACCACCCATTTAGTGTATTTTAGTGAGGATTGGGATGTACACACGGGGGGTGAGCCACATATATATATATATATATTTACATATACAAATATATTCACATATTACCCCAAAAAATACCCGTAGGTTCCCACGTTTTGCGAAAATGCTTCAGACAAACGTTTATGCGTCTTGGCAGTTTTTCGAAAAGCCACTGTCGGGTCAGCCGCGGATCGAATGAACGAGTGCGTTTTATGTGGCAGGCGTAAAACAGTCAACTATCACCCTGTTTTAAATTCCATAATCAAGAAACGCTTCCCGGAAAGATTGACCGCGCACATGCCCAAAGGTCTCTTCATGAAGGATTCTAGAAGGGTTGTAATCCCTCTGACCTTCAAGCGCAACTTATGTCTGGCGTATGCCAGCGCATCATTTCTGAGCTTCTTTTTGTGAAAAACTAGCCCAACCGGCTTTGCCAGCCCCAACATGATCTTAACTCTTCGGGGGGGGAGTGTTGGTGGGGGGGGGGGTTCCCCACTTGGTGATTTGACCCAAAGCCCCAAAGCAGCGCTTTTCACGTCTCAGGCCTTGGACGAGGCTCAGCGGCTGCTGAGCAAAATCTTGGGCTTCTGCACGGCATGGCCTGGGTCTCTGGATCCGATCTACCGATCTACCGGTGATGGGATCCGATATGACTGTGCTGGTCAAAACCGTTTTGGGATCCCATTTTGGTTGGTAGGTGGATTCACCACTTATTTTAGAACCTATTCAGTGGGGATTGGGATGTTCACTGGGGGTACGGGATTTTGACCCATGGCCATATCCCAACCAACATATTCAATCCCTCCTCACAAGGCCTTGAGGGTCTGATTCAAGGCCTTTTGGAGCCACCCGGAGAAGGATTCCTTTACCGAGCGCATCGGACAAGAGTAACTCCGGGCGAAGGACAGTAGCCTGATGAATCGGATGTGCTCAAGCCGTTAGGGAGCCAAGGAGCCGGGGATCGGTATCCGAGCTCAAGAGCTATCAGAAGTTCTGTCCGGTTTTTAGTTTTGACTCCGATTGCAACGCCACTGCCAACTGCCCTAACGAAACATTCCAGGCTCACTGGCCACAGGGTCTTTTGGCTGATTCGTGGCAGTCCGAGAGAAGAGATACACGAAAGGAATGCGAAAGCAAACCGCGATTGATTTGTCTCTGCGGGACGAGGTGAAGATGTTTACAGACTGAAAAGTGATAGCGAGGAAAGGATTAAGCCGTTTGGACAAGAGATATAAGTCAGTGACAGATACATTTCATGAGACTGAACAGATTAAAGGGAATGATATCCAATATTCTGAACTTTGATAATATTTTTTTTGTTTCTCTTTCATATTATCTACTTTTGTCTTTCTCCTTCTCTGTTCATTTTTTCTTTTATCGCTTTCTATTCCCCTTTTACATTATTACTATCTTCATGGTTTCTATTTGTCAGTTCACCTGTGGTCAGTTAGCAATTCTATCGCATGCCGTGTCCACCCGTCTCCAACCGCTCCAATAGTAAAGATTTCAAGGGTTAACAAACCCAATTTTAAACTGATAGGAAAGAGACGGTCAAGTGAGAGAGTGAGTGAGTGAGTGAGTGAGTGAGTGAGTGAGTGAGTGAGTGAGTGGGTAGGTGGGTGGGCGGGTGGGCGGGTGGGTGGGTGGGTGGGTGGAGTGGGTGAGTGAGTGCGTGCGTGCGTCCGTGCGTGGGTGAGTGGGTGGGAGGGAGAGTGAGTGAGTGAGTGAGTGAATGAGTGAGGGAGGGAGGGAGGGAGGGAGCGAGCGAGCGAGTAAGCGAGTTAGTGTGAGTGAGTAAGTGAGTGAGTGAGTGAGTGAGGGAGGGAGGGAGGGAGGGAGGGAGCGAGCGGGCGAGCGAGTCAGTGAGTGAGTGCGTCAGCATGCCATCAAATACCAGGTAACAGGAAGTGAAAGAGGGAGAGAGAAGACAGATAGACCGATGGCTATTACGTAAAAGAAAGGAATGAAGACAATAATAAAAGAGAAAGGAAAAGCAGCGGCTTTTGTGTCTCGGCCGTTGGGTGTTGAGGCTGCGGCTCGCTGGCACTGGACGACTGGTCGAAGGGTTGGATGGGCTGCGGGGCTGTATAGCCTCTGAGCTGGTGCGCTGGCCTCAGCTTTCCGTGTCCCGGCAGGTTTTCTTCCATTCCGTCTGGCCGTTTGAAGGGAATGAGCCCGAACATTTCCAAAACCAGAGCCACAAACGTCATTTTCCATGGCTTTGCGGATCGTGGTGGAAAACTTTGCTGGCAGCAGACTCGAGTACGGCATGTCAGTCGGACTTCCTTGAAGCCTGCTTTGTCGTTCGGCCTCGTGGCTTGTGCTACCTCGCTCGCAAGGAGCTCTGGGCTCTCTTTCTCCTCGCCTGAGGTTTCAAACCGTCGCAGCTGTGGTGACATCAGAGTTCTTCGCTCAGCTTCTGAGTGATGAGATCCTTCCGTCTGCGGTGCTTGTGGCCTGAGGTCAGGTCTGGGAGCCTCCATGCTCTTGGCTTTTCAGGAGCTGGAAGGCAAGCAGTGGCACGAATCGTGCAAGATGTGGGTCTGTCTTTGGGGTTAGGGTGCCCCAACAAGAAGTGTTGGTTGAAAAAGAAACTAAAAGGAAACCAGCATTGCAAGGGTTCCTTAATTTGAGACGTACCCATGTGGAGGTTGCCAAACTTTTTCGCCTGACATTTTGTTTCAACTGGCTGGTTTGCCTGTGCTTGCTTTTCTGTTCACACACTAGGACCCCTTGCAGGTTTCCCTCCTCGGGCCTTCAGTTCTTGACGCGTGGGTCAAGGTTTGGGTGAGACCTGACAGAGATGGTGGACAAATTTCACGAATCCTAGGTTTCAGGTTGAGTGTGGAAGGCTTGAAGGGGAGGACAAGGCCATGGTAACCTCACTGGACCAAAGCTTTGGTCGGAGCAACCTGAGTGCTGACGCAAATGGAAGCGCTTGCTTCCGGGTGGAAGTTTTCGGTTCCATGTTGGTTCCTTCGGCGTTTCTTTGCAGGCCTCAGCCTGATGGGAAAGGCCGCCTGCAATGTCGAGGAGGCAACAGGGCTCTTCGTGTGCAGTTTTGCCCAGCGTGTCAGCCAGCAACAGCCAAGACTTCATTTCGAGCCAAGAGATTGGATTACTTGATGGTCAAAAGGCTCCCCTCAGGAGTTGTTTCGCACTGGTCATAAACCTCAACAAGGAATTTTAGGCCGCCAAGGGTTTGTTGGGGGAACCATGACCTCTAGCCCCGTCTTTGGGGCTTTTGTTTCAACCCACGAGCACCAGAGCCGCCAAACCACGAGCCACCGGCGTAGCGCGCTGATGCGCGCAACAGGCTGCACTGGTCCTGGCCCTGCGCAAGCTAAGAGCCTGGAACTCAGACTCGGTGGGACGCCTCTCTCTCTCTTCCTTCTCTGTTACTTGGAAACCCCCAAAACGGGCCAACCCCCAAAATGATAGGTTCCCTCTGTGACACCCCCCAAAACGGGCCAACCCCCCAAAAATGATAGGTTTCCTTTGGGTTCACCTTTGTCTTTGAAACCACCTCACAAAGCGTATGGTGGCTCAAAAGAACACCGCCCACATGAGCTTGCAAAGGATTTGCAACACTGTGCGCACCCGTTTCGAAGCTGTCTTCTCAAGCATTTGGTACTGGCGCAAACAGCTTTCGCACATTTTGAGTATCTGCCGGCGCAATTCGGTTGTCATATCTTGAGTCATGCCGTGGACACTGTGGTGTCACACTCTTCTCGCCTCACCTCAAGCCACTGACAGCCAAGTGTTCACTACCCCAAGGTAGACCTAAACCCAGGGGTGGTTCATTCCAAAAGGAGAGCCCTGGATTTAGATCTTTGTGAAAGAACGGAATTGCCGAGAACTCGGCAGATACCTGAGGTGGTTGCAGCCCGGTGCGGTGCCGGCCGCGATGAGCTCGGTTTGTGTGTCGAGCATTGAGTATCTATTCTTGAGGGAGTCCTTTCAAGTCAAAAAGCAAACCACAAGTTTTGGAGGTATCCCTATGTTGAGAACCGCATTTGTTTTCTGGGGTCCAGAAGCGAGTGGGGCCCGTTGCCGGTAAAGCGATCAAAGCCAGTCTCATATTCTCACAGAGCGGAAGCCGGTCATATGAGCGGCCATGTCCTCATTCCCAAGAGGGGCAGATGCCATAGTAAACGCCTTGTCTTGCACCCAACACATTTTCTTGGCGCTCGCAAGGTCAAGGTTCCAGCGCGGAATCGATGATGCGAAGCATCGAGGTGCTCGATTGGCTTGCGTGCAGCTCCGCATCCCCCAAAATAACAACTGCAAAGCTGTTTTTCTTGGCAGCTTCTTGCCCAGCCTCTTTGAGAGCTGTTGCTTACAGCCGGTTTGGTTTCTTGGTTCCTTGAATGGATTGGCCAATGTAGGCTCCCATTTTAGGAAATGCCCAAAGCGCGTTTCTTCCTTTTGGCTTGGATCGCCGGATTTTCCCACGACTGCAGTCCTTCCGGGGCAACCTGCTTGAGCGTGTGCAGCTTTTCGCGGGACGCCGCGGGCTGAGGGCTGCTTGGGTTCGCATGACAATGGTTTCAAGGACAACCAAACAGGAAAGCCATCTTTTTTGTTTTTTGAGGTCTCCTTATGTTGACACACCGAAATGGGCAACGGTTCTCAGGATGATTGATTTCCGGACACCCATTTTGGAGGGCGGATCATTTTTCAACGTTTTCCAGACCCCGGCCCCGGTTCAACACCCAGCTGGGTACAGTTTTGCTTCTTGTTGGAACGGGACGTTTATAAACGATCTCACCGGATTCGCTGGCAGACTGAGGCCGCGAGCGACGGCTGGGCGTTCCCCAATTCAAGGATGCAGCCTTGAACGCTTGCAGGTTGCGCATGTTTTTGTCGCGTCTGGCTGCATGCGACTCATTGGCATATAGGAGATTGTGGGGGACATCGCCGGCCTTCTCGGCGAAGCCTACCCAAGCAACCAGGCGTGCCGGATGAAGGGAGCTTCAGCAAATTCATCCTCACCGTCCAGAGCGTTTCCAGGCACACAGGAGTGTTGCCTTGGGCTTGAATGTCATGATCTCTTGCACACGTGCAATTGTCAGGTGTTTTTTTTTTCTTCTCCAGTTTCGGCAATGGATAAATGGGACTTGGACGTGCTTGCCCGCAGGTCTTCGAGATGATGTGCCTTCTCTCCATGCAGCTGAGCGTTGCCCTGATCACTTACTGCCTCGGGCTTGGCATTTGCAGAACTAGAAAGGAAGGACGTCTCATGCTGTTTGCGTGTTTCAAAACAGTTGTCGGCGCATGAAACACATTTTCTTTTTCTCCTAGTTATTATCCACACCAGACGGTCAAGTATTTTTCGGGTGTTGTAGATCATTCCGCTCGTTTTTCCACGAGTGGATGATTGTGGGGGCTTTGGGATGTGCCAGAAAACTCTGTGCTGCATGCTTGCAGCTACGACTGGCATGATTCGTTCTGCTCCATTTGGTTTGTTTGTCTTCGGAGCATTGAAGCAATCCACAGGTTTTGCAGAAAATGGACCCTGCACCCATGTCCATTTTGTTCACTTCTTTGAGTCCCAAGTCGTTGTGGAGCTGGGAGATAATTCATTGCGTGCATATGTGATGCATACATAGTATCGTTCTAATATTGTTATTCTTGTTAATTAGTGTATTACTATTCATTGTAATAATGAACCACAAATGCAAGTAAGATTCTCACCACAATCATGAGAAGTGTATATATATATATACATATTTATATGTACGCATTGCACATAGTTGTGAATCCAAGCACAGGAAACCGAAAAGCACACCCAGCATTCGGGGCCTCATCTTCAGACAAGGCCATTGGGCTTGCCAGGGATCGATCCGGAGATCTTCAGGTCCCGATGTGCCGGACGCTGATTCACTGGAAGCTGTGGAATGGCTGGCGAGTGTACTTCGCACCCTGCCAGATGCCAAGAGCGAGCGAGCTGTTGCATTTGTACGAAGTACACCCGGGTGAAAGTACGTGGCATGAACAACCCCGGTCTCAGTTGTCAAGGGGGTGGACCAAACCATGCGGAAGTGTGTCATCATATCTACTTGTGCACCAAGCATTTTTGAGTCCATATCCTCATTGGAGACCAACCCATGTGAGTGTGAGTAACAGAGCTTTTCTGGCAGTCTATTGTTAGTTTGGGGTCCACCCAAATTCCCGACAAAGACCGGGGGGGGGACTACACGAATCGACCGGGGGTTAGTAACCCTGGTCCACAATGATGCAGAGGGAACCACCTCGATTTTCCCATGTCGTCTTGCGGAACAAGTGATTTTATCCGCGGCCTCACATGTTCAGAATCACATTGGATGCCGAACGTCGATTGATGCGAGGAGTGGCACACCATTTCCGTGATTCAAGCCATTCCTACCTTATCCATGACATTGTTTGTTGCATGTGGGGGGTGGGGGAGCACAGTGCGCATTTTTGATTTTGACACGGTCTGTTTGTTCTATCCCTTCAAGCATCGCTTTGCACAACTTGAAAAGGTGACGCATCATCAGACCGCTTGCGTCAGCTCCGCTGGGCACACCCCCGAGGCTGGACAAAGGTGGCGCTGGTCCCCATCTCGGTACCGCCCCAAGTCGCAACCAAGAGACGGATCCCTGCACCACTCTTGTTGGACCAGGCACCCGCAGGCAGTTGTATTCGACCCGATTTGCAAACCTCAGGAGGTTTGCAGATACCATGGAAAGGTGTCAAACCATTGTCGGATATCCCAGGGGATGCAGGGGCCGTGCAAGAAGCGAGAGCGCGCATTGTTTTTTTGCATTCATGTTTTATTCTTCTTGTACAGTGCCAAAACGCGTGCTTTGACCATGGAGGAATGATACACCGTTGGAAGGAGCCTACGCTTGGGATAGCTCGGAAAAACTGATGAGATGGCGAGGCCTTTTGTCCTCGCCTGGGGCTCTCCGAGAATGGCTGGAGGAGTGGAGAGGTTTTGGGCTGCTCGGATCGAATGGGTGCATGATCCCTCTCCCCTTAAACAATGGAATTGGGGAGGGGGGTAACCCCTGGAATTCCATTTGTGGTTCCGTGTTCCTTGTTTTCATGGGAAGACTAGAGGAATGAAATTGGGGGACCCCCCACCCCCCCCCCCCGGGGCGCTTGTTCCATTTCTGGGTTGAAATGCGGATCGTGTCCGCATTTTTCAGCTTGATTGCTCAGTATCTTTCGGCGGGCCTGATGTGTGGTTCACATACCCCTTACTTGGGGTTGGTGGATGATCTACAAGAGCTCTGACCAGCAGATAGGTCCAGCCTTCACTCAATGATCTGTCGGACAGACCTTTGAGTGGAGCCAGGGTTGGGCAAACACAATGTGTTAACCAACCCCTGGTCCAACGCCTTGGGGAATCAAAGGGCACGCAGCAAGTTGGTGCAATCGGGGCGACACAGGACTCGGGTTTCTGGAAGCGCCTTGTCACGCAAGCGTCCTGCCGGGCACAGCAGCACGCTGGAAGCTGAGCGGGTGCCATTTGGGAGTCCCAGAACAGGCGCACCCGATAGACCCTGGTACGGGGTCTGCTTCGAAGGTCGTTTTTCAGCAACGGTCTTGAAGGATCAAGTTGTGCAAACAACTGGCACAAGTTCAGTAGCTCATTCTTGATCGCAATACCCAACTGCAATGTGATCTTTGCTTCTACACTTGGGTAGTGCTCCACTGATAAGGTCAACGGGAGCCTGTGAAGTTTTCGAGCTGAACTTCTTTGGCGGCGAATTATTCAGTTTGCCCCTTTGCCCCTCCCCCCCCCGCCTGGGTGAGAGATTGCACGTCTTGAGCTCGTTTTAGAGTTTGGTGATTTGCTCGAATTGCCGGAATCCAAGGCACACCAGCTGATGACCGTTCGCAGCTCATCATAGAGTGTGGTTTGCCGGCGCATCTATTGGCAAATTCCAATTGCAGCCCTTTCTGTGATGACTGGTCCGTGGCAGTTGAGATGCCAATCCCTTGGTCTTTGGACAAGAAGCACTGGAGCCCATGCCTTTCCCACCAATCTGTCCAAAACAGGACACCAGAGCTCAAGAAAAACACGGAGTGGTTTGTGGTTTGGGGACGGTTGGTTCCCAGTTGGGGTCCCAGGTCTTGCTGTCCGGCGGCGTCCTGTCTTCTTCTGACCTCGTCGTGGCCCTCGCGAAGGCGCCTTGAAATTTCGCTGTGTGGCGGGTACGGAAGGGGAGGTCCTTGTTTTGAGATATAACGAACATTTATTGGAATATTTCCGGGTCTGGTCTTGAGCCGGGCTTTGTGATATCGGAAATGGATATGGTCTGAGAGGCGCGCAAATCAATTGACATGACGCTGCTCAAAGTGGAGAGGCAACCTTGCAAAGCTTCGACGCTTCTGCGTATGTTGACAGCGGAGAGAGCTGGACCCGCCCATTTCGGGGTAGCAATCATCTTTCGCGCGTCGGCCTTTCTAGGAACCTCCTGTAACCATCTTCAAGCACAAAGTGCAGTTGCACATACAACGTCCTTCTGTGTCCGAACATGCACTTCATTGCACTTGTTCTCATGCCAAGTGCAAACAAACTTGGGCATGAAGAAGCTTGCCCTGCAGGAGGGGGTATTGTCCAGAGCCTTGCCGCCATCATGCCGCCCGGTCCTCCCGGTGCTCGAGTTTCGCAGGGGCAATTTGGCTAGGTCTTCTCTTGGGAGGGGGCCGGTATGGCATCGCCCACGGAAGTGAGTTGCCCCTTTCTTTTGGGACTCTGAAAGGCTTTGGGCGAGAGCCATGTTAGGAGACTCTGAAAAAGCAAGCATGCAGTGGAAAGGCAGAAGGCTTTCTCTATGATTGACCTGTCGCTTCCAGATCCGTCTGCAGACGGCTTCCGTGTTCTTTGAGGATATTCATCAAGTCAAAGAGAAACGTCCCATGAATGCGTCGGGCAAATAGCTCTGACTTCTTGCAACCCACAGCAGCCCAGTGCGAGTGTGTGTATTCTTCCTTGCCGGCTTGCCTGACTCGATTTTGTGAACACGAATGGTTTCGCTGTTTCTGGATGGTCACGAGGAGGCTGATTTGCATGATCTGATGGAAAAAGGTCCCGGCAAAAGACAAGACCCTTGTGGCATGGCAAATGGTGGGAAGCATGTTGCCGACCTCGCAGGCATGTTCTAAATCAGTGTTTTTCTTCCAAGTGCCGGGGCACGCTCGGCCTTGTTCCATGGTGGACGCAACACGTCCGAAACCAGCTTCGCCAGCCGGGCGATGGCAGCGAGGGCAGCAAATGATGAACATTGCTACGAGTCTGTTCTCCTGGGGCCTTGGCTGGCACAGGATCATTTTCAACGCGGCAAGGCTGCAGGATAAGTACGACATCAAGTACGCTGCGCCTCTCGCTGTCCTGCTGCTAGGTGTGGTCATGACAAGTGTCCTAGGAGTTCTGGACTTCTTCCACGAGGGCCAACATAGCCTCGTGGTGGCAGCGTTGGACGCGGACACGCCCTACTTGGCTGCGGTGCGGTGTCCCCAGCTGCTGCGAGGCGAGGAGGCGCCGGACTGAGAGCGAGCGCGCATTCGCAATGCCATTTGGCGCTCCGTGCCTCTCGCCAGCATTTCCTTTTACATCGCCTAGGGACCTCTTGGAGATCCCTACCTGTCAGCTGGTTGCCTCCGCATCTATCCTGGCCAATGGCTTCTCCCACATTCCGAACCGCTTCTCAGAGGCCGTCAAAGGCGGGGAGAACCCGGTGAATTTGCAGGAGGTCTACCGGTGGCAGCAGATCAACTCCTCCGTCCAGGAAATAGGCCTAAAAGTCTTTATGGATGCCGAGTTCTGGGAGATGTGGGGTCGCACGGAGGAGAAGCTGTGGACCAGTGCCCATTGCGAGGATTCCAAATGGAGCCCTGGCAGGAAGCTGTCCAGGACTGGGCGGAGACATGGTTCGTGCAGCCTGTGGTGAGGTTGGAGGACGGGCACGCAGGAGAACTTGGCACGGGGAACCTGCTCATGGCAAACGTCCTGATTCAGCAGGCGGCTCTTCGTCACCTGTCTCTGCAAAAAGGCTTCAAGCCGCAGATGTTGAAGCTGATACGCAAATCGAAGGGTATGGTCTCCCGTGAATATGTGGGCGCGTCCCTTGAAGACATGCTAGATGCATACGACGAGAGAGTGCGCAAAGACTGGATGGCCAGTCCATTTGTCAAGACCGCAAGATGTGTTCAGCATACACCAGGAGCGGGAACGCTGGCAGTGGAATGTTGGGTTCAGTTTCATTCTGCTTGTGATGCAGTTTCTCCCATCGTGAAACATGTGCAAAAGGCGAGACACATCCCATTGAAGAAGCTTGTTCCCATCGCGGTGCATTGCGTGCTGGACATGATCCTTCTGGTGGCAACTCTCGTTGGCGCTTCCGTGGCTGCACTGGCCCACAATACAGGCGCTACAATGAATGCGCTTGTGAGCATCCTGTCCACCATCTCCGAAGTCTTCATCCATCTTGCGGATTCAACGGACTCCTCCTTTGCCCTAGAACTGGCCAACAGGCTTGCAGCCATGGTCATCTCCTCCCACGAAGGCATCTTCGTGATGGATCTCTTGCAGGACGCAGTTGCGCCCTCATTGATGATTAGCCCCACAGGCCTGGCGCGCATTGCCGCAGGCGTGCTGGGCTTTTGCCTGGTCTCTCTGACTGTCACCCAGGTCTCGTGCCCTGAGGATGTCAGGGTGACTTTGACAACAAAGTTGAATGTGGCCGTCGCCGGGCCTTCTTGCCACGGAGACGGATGCGGAGGCGATCAAGATGAGCAAAGATATCTTCCTGCAGATGGTCTTTCGAACGCTCCTGCTTATCACAATCGCCGGAGCCTCCTGGCACCCTGTTGACAGATCCCACGCGGCTTACTTCTATGGACTGGTCTTCAATGCCACGCTGGAGGTTCAAAGACTTCAATCCATTTGGGTCGTCGTCACGATTGGTCATGTGCTTTCTGGTTTGTTTGCGTTGGAAGCCGTCCGCAGCTCCATACCATCGCAGGACCTCCGGAGCAATCTGCTCGAGGCTAGCAACTACGGCAGCCTTGACTCGATTTCGAAGATGCCTGGGGACGCACAAGTATGAGGAGACACAATCAACGACTTGCCGGTTAGCAGTGGAGTGAGTGAAACAGAGTGCGCAAAGCAGTGGGAGTACCTTCTCAATGCCTCAAAGAAAGAATTATACACCCTACGCGTGCACTTGTGTCCAGATGTACTGTATTTGACTCTTGCACATCGTGCGTTTTTTTGGGGGTCCTAGAATCAAAACTCATCCACAGCCCGCAACTGAAACTTCCCAGCCCATCGAAGAAGCAAGGCCAAAACACATCCAAAACAGACGATTCCTTTGCCGGGGTTGTGGAACTTTGTTTTATCTGGTCCAGGAATAACATAGGGTATATGAGTTTAATGGGAGACGTCCAAAATGGTTGGGGACACAAATCCCAATGCAAATGATGTCCACCAAAGGGTTCCTAGTATGAGAAGTTCACTGTTATACATCAAAACAGGGGTTTAAGTGGACGATCCCGGACCTTGCGAAGCCCAAATGTGGGTTTTACCCGTGCCCAAAATCTTTAGGAGCCCTCCCTTCACACAGAGCAACCCTCAGTCGGCAGTCGATGGTTTGGATTGGTGTTTTGGGATTCGAACCCATGGTTTTTGCAGTGGGTCCATGGGGTTTACTACTCCGCAACGGGAAACCCCTCCACAAAAAAGGCCAAGCCACCGATTCGGCAGGGAAGCGAAACAAAAACACGGAGGGTACATGGGAACCCCGTCCTGAACCACCAAACCACCAAACCACCCAACCACCCAACCACCAAACCACCAAACCACCAAACCATCAAACCACCAAACCAGCAAACCAGCAAACCAGCAAACCACCACACCGCCAAACCACCAAGCCACCAAACCGCCAAACCACCAAACCGCCAAACCACCAAACCACCATACCACCATACCACCAAACCACCAAACCGCCAAACCACCAAGCCACCAAACCACCAAACCACCAAACCACCAAACCACCAAACCACCAAACCGCCAAACCATCGGGCTCCAAACAGAGGGAAGCCGAATAAAGCACGGAGAGTCTCTGGGTTGCAATCATCGGCAATCGAGGTGCCGCCCTGCACGGCGCCCTGCTGACCACGGCCAGCAATTCCGAGATGGAGGCCGCAAGGGGACCTAGTCGGTCGGTTTTTGGTGCCTAGGATGCGCATGGGTGACTTTTTTGTTGCAGGGTACCGTTTTGGTCGGCTTGGGGAGGCCGAAGGGAAAAACAGCAGCTGGTTCTTGGGGGCCAGAAAAGACAGACCCACAAGTTGGCCGGCGCGGAAGAGGACTTGTTGGATGTGATTTGGCGGATGACTATCCTGGCTGGTTTTTGGGATCAAGAAAGGTGGCATCGTGCTTTGCTGGCAAGGAATGGCCGAGGCTAGGATAGGAACTCGACTGCCAGGTTGCGCTGGACATGTTCAGCGAAGTCTGCAGCTTGCTGGGCTTTGCAGACATCTCCAGCGAAGGCGTGCGAGCCTGGGATTTGGTGCCTGGGAGTCTCGCGAAGGCATGGGAAGCTTTGGTTCCATGCAAAGAACAGGGCCCAAAGGGGCGTCCTTTTTAGGTTAGTTTGGTTAAAAATCGATGGGTTCCACTGGTTTAGATGTGTTTTGTGCCATTTACCAGGGAAACCCATCCATTTTTCCAAAAGGCCACCTGTGACAGTGCTCTTTAGTTGACAGGAATCGGCACTTTGTTGTTTGGACTATGGTGCTCTGTGGCAATAGGACCCGAGACTTGCTAAATCACAGTGACGGCACCTGAACACTGCAGAAATGCGAAGCGTATATTTTGCGAGACTTCCAAGAGCATCTGAGATTGAAATATTGAAATGAACAAGTATCAGCAAGTTGTGGGGGCGGTGAATCGCGAGTGCAGACTCATCACCCGCAATTTTCCCGGGCCAGTGGCCAGGCATCCACCTGCTCACCCGCCTGAACTTGAGAGCCCTAGACGCGGGCTACCTGCTGAACTCTGCCAAAGCCCTGGGTATTCGGACAACCCTGGACCCTCTGGGTGTGACTCGGATTTTGTTGTCGCACATTTCCGCAAACTGATGGTCGGGTGGGGAAAAGCACGTGATTTCTCAGCCATTGCCGGCTGGTCAATTCGTTTTTCATCACCTTTCAGACGTGTGTTGCGGTCTTCCTGGGACCCGAAATCCAATCTAAACCAACCTTGAACCAAACCTAAACCCACCCCAAGGGACAGCAAGTCAAGGCTTCAATGGTTTTACCACCGAGGCTTCTGCCTCCATTGACGGGTCGCTGGCAGTGCCCTTCCTGCTTCAATATCTGCAGTGGGGATACAGACAGGACTGGATGGCATGTTCGATAAATGTATGGGGGGTGCCTTGGATATGTGAGCGGGTGGAACATAGGGGACTCACCAAGTTTCCCATTTAAACATAGCACTCGCCAGTTTTCCCACCAAAACTCATGGTGTTGCTCAAAATAATGGACTTAGTGATTCCCTTTGGGTCTCGAAACCATCCAAGGCGGACCACTATTTTAAGAAAGACAGATGGTGGTTCCTTGTGTTCAACATCGGAGGCGGCCTCTCTCGTCGGACCCGCATTTTGAAGCCACCTTGTGCAGCCCCTTCGTAGCGCCAAACCCAAAAATGGCCGACTCATTCTGACACCCCTCTTGTGAAGAAGATATTCGCAACCAAAACCCAAGTGACTCATTACCATCTCCTCTCCTTATGTGTATGACTTAAGAGTTGGAATCACATGAAAAGTGGTCGGTGGGCAAAATAATCACCTATATGATGTCCACCAAATTGGCCAAAGGGTCCGGCCCTGAAAATTCACACCAAAATGTTTGGCTTTCTCAAAATGGTCCCCCACCAAAGGTTGGCAATCTGAAGAGAAACCGAGAAAGGACACCAAGCATTCTCAGGGGTCCGATTCCTATATGGGGGTTGATCAATATTCCTGTCCCCGCCATGACCATGGGTAACTTTCCCATGTGGTTGACAGATCACATCTTTCTTTGGTGGTTTTCCAAGCAATGGTCATCCCATGTATCAGAAACACCCCGAGATATGGCTATGGGTCAAAATAAAACCACCAGGACATGGACCGCAGGTTGAATCGTCCTTATTTCCATTTGCCAGGGCATTTTGGGGTTACCATATTTTCGACAACCACACCCATATGGGTCTGAATTTTAATCAGGGACCCTTTGGTGGACATCAGGTTTTATGTCCACCAACCACTTATGAGGTAGTTCCGACTTAGATTTCCTGGCCAAATGACGAAATGGACAGACCAATGTGAACCAAGCATGGAGAATTTCCACCCTTCTGGAGGTTCACACTTGGTTTTCCACGAAGCAGGCAACAAAAAAAACATCTTTGCCGGGGTTCTTCTTCCAGCCACGAGATCTGGTTTAAAATCCACTTTTTTTTTTGAGGGGTTTTTTGCTAAAGAAAGGGACACGCTCATCCCTTTGGTGGACATCATTTAGGTGGGGATCCATGCCCCCCAACCACTTTGGAGGGGGTTCCGACTCTTAAAATTCGAGCCGTTCCCCCAACCACTGTACCAAAAAACCAAACCATATGGGAAACCCATATGGGAAACCCAGATGGGAAACCAAACCCTTCTGGGACACACCCATGTGGCTGTGGGTCAAAAACAGGGCAACCCCCAAATGGGTTGCCCGATCGGTAAATGGAAACATGGACATTCTTAAACCTGCGGTCCAATTCCTGGTGGTTTAATTTTGACCCATACCCATTTGGCCCGGGGGTTTGGGTTGCCTCCAGGCATCTCTGTGATTTAATTTTGCCCATAGCCATCTGGTTTCCGATGGTTTCGGATTCGTTTCCGCAGGACTCCGCGGACCTCCTGGGCCAGCTGGACTTTGCTTCCCGCTGTCTGACGCGCGCCCAAGACTGAGAGGGGCCGGAGCTGGGAGAGACTTCTCCGTTCAATTTGGGGGGTGATCAAATGTTTTTGTTTTTTGTTTTTTGTATGGAGGCAGCAAAATGCATTTTTTTGCGGCTGGATGGAGGCAAGAGACACACACACATATATATATATATATGTATGTATATGTATGTATGCCTTTGCGTTTTCTGTTTCGACCTGGTGCCACAAAAAAGGGGATGCCAGAAGGATCCCTAACTTTGACCACGCGCCGTTTGTTTTGTGAGGTTTGGTGAACATTTCCTGAGTTGTCCATGGGTTCACTTAGGGACACGGAGGAACTCACGAAGGTTCAAAGACAGGGGACTCGGTGCGTTTTCCGTGTCCTCTTGGCGAAACAAGTGCTTTTGATTGTACATCATGGTCAACTGATCTAGGGTTTCCAAATGCAAGCATTGGTAGAAATTACGAAGATCTACGAAGTATCCATGAATATCAGGAATGCAGAATGTTGGCTGGCATCAGTCAACTGAATGTTTTTCTTTAGTCCATCTTCAGTTGTATTTGGTCGTTGTGAAAAGCTGGGTGAAGGGGCCTAAGTCACCCTTGCCTATCGCAAAGGTATGTTTAACCAGAATGTTGGGGGGGGGCCTTTGACAAACAACTAGCTTCCTGAGTTCCTGGACTTCATACTTTTTGGGAAGACCGTTTTAGTGGTAAATGGAACGTTTGGTTACTCCTTTTGGGCCAAGGAAGTGAGTGGCAGGACTCTTTGTGAGAGAATTCGAGGATTTCTTTCGCCTTTCGCTGAGGTGCTGCTGCCTCATCCCAACCTGGCGATTTTGCTGCCAGCGGTGGCGGCGCAAGCGCTGAGCTCTGCCAGCGAGACCGGAGGCATCGGAGCCCCAACCGGCGGGTTTCGAGAGGGCCCCCCGAAAGAAAAATCACATCGCTGTGGCTACCCTGTGGATGTATATAGTATATATATATATTATATATATATCATATATATATATATATATACACAAACCAATGTGGAAAGGGTACCAGCAACAAACAACACCCACCCACCAAACTCACCACACCCCTATAAATGCTCTGAATTCTTGCAAATATAGTCTTGAGAAGGCACGCACGCCCATACCCATACCCGTGGCTTGGTAGCAGGACTCAAGCGAGCCCTTGGATGTGTCGGTCACCCTTTGCTGGTGATCGGATCTGATGTCAAGGCAGCCAGTCATTGTTGAATACATGGCATGTAACGGGCTTCCTCGATAGATGCTTCTCGGTTGTCACACAATGATGTGCAACAACGACAAGCAGATTCAAGACACAACAACTTGTGATGACCCATGTGACGCGCTGGGTCAAATGCCGTAGGCCTGTCTCGCCAAGCAGCTGCAAGGTGCAATAGGGCGGCGAGCCCAGGGAGTGTAGGGGCATGCTGCAACAGGCCCAGCCTAGGTTTTAGACCAGCGAAGGGTTTTTTGCAGTCAGTGTCAGTTGGGTTCCTGTCACAATCGTCCAAAAAGGCACGTGGATTCCTTTTGGTTTCCCGTTCAACCTGAAAAGGAACCCGAGCCTCCACAAAACAAAAAGAGATCTGCTTCTCTTGCTGAGGCCCTTTGTGCTGTCGCACTGGATGCGGCCGCACTTGCACCATCCATGGATTACAGCCAACTTCAGATGGCTTGCGACTTAGCCTATCCACACCCAACCAGACCTACTGCGTGGTCTCATTAGACAGTGTCCAAAACTCTCCTCTTAGAAAACGCAGGGGGCTCTAAGGAGCCAGTGGTCTGCTTTTCTGCGCTTCTTGCCGAAAACAACACATGAGCCACAATCAAAACCCGGGTAGATGAAGGTTAGTAAGGGCCAATCCCAACCGTAAATAGCTGCCGCCTTCTGAATTCTTTACATGGTTGTGGGGATCGACCATTTTAATAGTGGGTTTTGATTATGACTCAAATGCGATGTTTCCGCACTAACTGAGGCTTCACCTGCTGTGCTGCTTCAAGCCATGCCCCGGGTCGGCTCTGCGCCTCCCTTTGACTTCGAAAACACGGAGGCGATCGGCATGAGCGTTCCCTAGGCGATTCAGCCCCTTGTTGAAACCATAGTTTAAACATGTTTAAGCCACTATGGTTGGACCAAGCTTCTTTTGATTTGCCTTTGCACTGGTAGCATGTTTGAACCACTGCTGCCTAAAGCTTCTTTTGGTTCCCCTGACACAATTTTGCGACCAATGGTTGCCGAGCCGCCCTAAATGTTCTTTATATACCTTGGTTTGAGTAGACCCTTTTGGTATCATGTTTTGATAGTCACTCACATGTTGATAGATGTACACACACACACACTTACACACGCAAACTTGCTTTGATGTATTGAGATGCGTGAAGTACGACACGTGACGAGAATGACTGCATGTGCCTGGCGAACATATTCATTATACTGATGCTGCATGCTTGTTGCGTTTTATGCAGTTGCCGTTGTCCGTTTTGCAATCTATGATCTGACTCCTCATGCCATATCTAATGACTTTGTCAGGGCACGGCTTACGTGCTGATTGTAACTTTTCGCAGCTGGTTTCTGGGAGGACGACTACTTCTGCAACGACTGTGTTTGCACTGCATTTATCAGGGGTTTGCATGACTTGACTTTATTTTTTTGTGCCAGCGGCGTTTCGCGCAGTACTGGCTGACTTCATTGGTGGACTGCTTGTCTGCCTTCCTGTCTGCTGGTGCAGACATTGGGAGCCGCGAGGCGCTAGCCGCTAGCAACCTGGGCTGTCGACCTCTTCCCCCAGCTTGCCAAGGGTTTTCCTACCCCTAATCTAGCCTATGTCCAGAAAAAAGAACCTGGTTATGTTGGTTTAGTTGTGATGATTTTGGGTAATTCCCCTGTTGGAAGAACAATCCAACAACCTGGGTTTGACAAACAAAGAGACTCAAACCGCAGCAGATGGGCAAGCTCAGCCCCTTGAACTCTACTTCCTTGTCTCTTTCAGTCAACATGGTGGCCCCCTTTTTGGAGGGGGGGTGTCTTGTTTTAGGGTAACTCCAAAATGGCCTCGGTGTCCCAAAACGCGAAAAACGCGGGGGGGGGGGGGGGTTTACCCTCAAACAGGACGCACCCATATTGTTTTCGCAGGTGGGATTGTTGTGGAGCCGACTGGTTGTCCTGGCCTCAGAGAAGGGCGCATTCGGACGAACCGCTTTGCGAGAAATGGATGTGGTGTGAGGTGCATTGTCATACCAAGCTCCTACAGGTCACAAAGAGATGCTCCCAACCCACATCGATTCGTTGCATTTAGGCATTCCATGGCGATACAGGCCTGCAAAAGCACATGCATGTGAGTGCAGGGCGGAATCAGCTTCTTGACGGTTTGTTGCTGGAGATGAGCGGTAAGGTTGACACTCTGGCGTAGGTCGTTGGTGATGATGATGATGATGATGGTGGTGGTGGTGGTGATGATGATGATGATGTCAGACAGGTCAGAGAGATTTCGGGTAACCACGCTGCACTTTTCCAGTACCCACGACAGGGTAACCACGCTACACAAAATTTTTGCAGTACCACAACGGGGTAACCGCGCTAGACTCTTTCAGTAACCACGACCGGGTAGTGTTGATGCTGCTGACGACGACGATGATCATGATGATGACGATGACAATGCTGAGGACGACGCTGACGATGACGATGAGGATGAGGATGATGGTGATGAGGATGATGATGATGATGATGATGGTGATGGTGGTGGTGATGGTGATGATGACGATGATGACGATGACGATGATGAGGATGAGGATGATGATGTTGTTCATGATGATGAGGATGATGAGGACAACGACCACGATGATGATGATGCTGATGATGATGACGAAGATGATCATGATGATGACGATGACAATGATGAGGACGACGATGACGATGACGATGAGGATGAGGATGATGGTGATGATGATGATGATGATGGTGATGGTGGTGGTGATGGTGATGATGACGATGATGACGATGACGATGATGAGGATGAGGATGAGGATGATGAACTTGTTCATGATGATGAGGAGGATGAGGACAACGATGACGATGATGATGATGCTGATGATGATGATGATGACGATGATGATCATGATGATAATAATGATGATGATGATGATGAGGCTGATGCTGGCGATGGTGGTGGTGACTGGAACCTTCGCACCATTCCAAAGCAATAGTAGTTCCATTCTAGTGTTCACTCGGAATGATACACCACCCAAAAAACTCAAAGACTGAGCCCCCTTCTGAACGCCAACAATGCAAGGAGTTTGTGTCCTGTTCATGCTGTGAATGTGGGCCGGCGTCGGAACCGGAGCCTGCTCCACGAGCAGCGGTCACCCGAAGCGGCCGTTCGGGAGGCACCCTGCACTCACTTGGGTTTGGTGTTTTCCTGGTTTTTCCCCCGAGAAGGAACCCCCAAAAACAAAAAGCCACAAGAGGGCAGGCGAGTTTGGTAGAATCCACAGGAGAGTTCTGCCCTCAGAAGCAATCCCCAAACAGGTTTCATAACGCGCGAGTTTTGAGTGGAATCAGAATCCACAGGTCGGAGAGACATTTTTTTCAGACGAGGTGCGGCCCATCCTCGGGCTCCCGGCCAGCTTCACTGCGGGTCAGTACTTCAAGCTTGCGCTGGGCTCCAAGGAAATGAGCTGAGTGAGCGAGCCAAGTGCCAGCTTCCTCGCTTCCAGCGGGTGCCACCTTGGGCTCACTTTGCTTTTGAGGGTTTTCCTTCAGAGTTGACCCAAGCAAAAAAGTTTTTTTGTTGCGAACGTCTCCACCTCCGTTGAAAGTTAGCTCCGTGACAAGTAACCCAACAACAGTGCCGCTTCTGCACGGGTTTGCAAGGTTTTGGTGGTGACAACTGCACTGGGATCCCACCACCTGGAATAGTTTTTGTTTTATCCTTGTTTTTGTTTTTTGATCCGGTACCCAACTTCCCAGTGCTGTTCGTTTCTGTTGCATGCCAATCATCAGTCCTACCAAGCAAGACGTCATACAAGTGGCTCGCATGAGCTCCCATTTTGAATGCCATAATGTGTGTTGACCATCAAGCATCCATTCCTATCTTTGGGTCGTTTGCAGCGGTTTACTCTTCCTTTGCATCGAAGACGGATAAAAACATGTAAATGCTGTCCAGGCCTAGCAAGTGTTTCCTTTTGGAGTTGTTTTGTCCGAGGCGGTTTTCTCTTCTCTGGCTTTGGGCTCGTAGCACTGCAAGTAAGTGCAGCACACCGGGAGAATCTGGTGCGCACCAAAAACATCCTTTGAGCAATGAAGTTCGGACTCATGGTCGCAATGGTGGCAGGCAGGGTCTGGCACGCATTTAAGAAAGGAGGGGTATTTATTTTAGGATTTTTGTCTTCCGCTTTTGGCTTTTTGGCTTTTGGCTTCTTGGCTTCTTGGCTTTTTGGCTTCTTGGCTTTTCGGCTTCTTGGCTTCTTGGCTTTTTGGCTTCTCGGCTTCTGGGCTTTTCGGCTTTTTGCTGGTTTATGCGGCTTTTGGTGGCTTTTTGGCTTTGGCTTTTCGCATCCTCTGCATTCCCAGTTCCTCTTCGGCAGGTGGCGTTTTGGCTTTTGCGGCTTTTCGCGGCTTTTGGCGGCTTTGGCTTTTCGCATCCTCTGCTTTCCCAGTTCCTCTCAGGGCTTTTTGGCTTTTGCACCCTTTCATTGGTTTTTGGATTTGGCTTCCCGCATCATCAGCATCACCACCCTATTTGAATCATCACTTCTTCGAACATCATGGGGGAGGAACCCGCCCCCCCAACCCACCCGCTACTGTTTAGATTGTTTGCAGAGTACTTGCACCCCTGTTTGAATCAACTCTTCTTCAAACATTATGGGGGGGGGGGGGTTGCCGCCTCTCTCCCGTTACTTTTTAGACTTCTTGTAGAGATTGAATCGCACCCCTGTTTGAATCATCACTTTTTCGAGCGTCCAATTTCGCGAGAAAATGCTGCAACAATACGACATTTTAGTAAATCTGTGTAATCTATGTATGTCTGTATGTATGCATTTCTTCGAACATCATAGGGGAAGCCACCCCCGCCAACCCTCCCGCTGCCTTTTAAATTCTATCGCACCCTTTCTTGAATCATTGCACCCCTACTTGAATCATCACTTATTCAACATCATGGGGGGGGCTGCCGCCCCCCCCAACCCCCCCGCTACGTTTTAGATTTTCTACAGAGATTTAATTGCACCCCTAGTTGAATCATCAATTCTTCCGTCACGGGGGGGGTCGGCAACCCCCCCCAACCCCCCCGCTAGTTTTTAGACTTTTTGCAGAGATTTAATTGCACCCCTATTCGAATCATCACTTCTGTGAACATCATGGGGGGGCCGCCCGGCAGCCCCCCCCCCCCCAACCCCCCCGCTACTTTTTCTTTTTCTTTTTAGGAATTGAAATGCCGACCCCGTCAACCCGCCAGCTACTTTTTTGATTTTGTTAGCCACGATTTGTTAGTGATGCTGGGGATGTTGGTCGGACATTGTTGACGGGCTAGTGTAAAATGCGTCAATTTGGCGAGAAATTGCTGTAAAATACGAAAAACAAGAATCATAATTTCAAAAAAAATCCGACAAAACAAAAAACACACATCCGGGAAAAAAAAAAACATCCCAAAGTAAATCCGCACTCTTTAAGAAACATCATCCAGGCCTAAGATGAGCCGTTGCGGGCTTGTTTTCGTGGGAACACTGAAAGGAGCTTAGTCAAACTTTAGGTGTTTCAACCATTGAAATCTACTACAACACTTTGCGTTTTTTTCCGATTCGCCTCCGTTTTGGTGTTTTTTCAAAACTCAAAAAAAGAAGAAAACACACACACACACACCAAAACTAGGGCCCATTTGGCGTCTTTCCATGTGCCAGGGCGCCATTTGCCGGGTTTTCCCCCCATGTTTTTCACCGCCTTTTGGGGCCATTTGCGTCAGGGGCGCAGGGCTTCGCCGCCCACGAGCTGCTGGGTGTGCCCGCGGGCGCGGGTCCCGCGGGCGGCAGCATGTCCTTGGCCTCGGTGGCCGGGGCCTTGGCCAACATCGCGGAGCAGCCGTCCAGCAGCCCCACCATCCAAAGCATCAAGGAGACAATTTTTGCTCGGTCGTTTCGACCAACATTTTTATTTTCTTGGGCCGCAAAGAAAAAGGGGGCCAGGGTCTCTTTTTTTTTTTTTTTTCGTTCACCCAATGTTGTGCGATATGTTGTTTGTTGTTGGCTTTTTCTTCTTTCTTTTTCCGCTGGCCCGGCAGAAAGGTGGGTCTCTTTCTCGCTCTCTGCTTTTGTTCCCCTTGTTTTGCGTGATCTTGTTTTGGTTGGGTGAAGAGCAAGCGTTACAACAGCATCACCAAGGAAGGAGGAAGAAGAAGAAGAAGAAGAAAAAGAAGAAGACGCAGAAGCAGAAGCAGAAGAAGCAGAAGAAGATGAAGAAGACAACATATCAAGCAACATAATCTGAGAAAGAAGACCCGGCCTCCGAACTAATGACATGTCGCGAAGGACTACGTTGCGCAGATGCTGGCAGACATCACCACTCAGCACAACGTTGCACAGGCTGAGCTGACGGACGTCTCAGGATTGGGTAAATGGCCACCTGGAGGGAATCCAAAAACGTGGCTCCGTTTGCTGAAATTGCCCTCCCGCCCCCATGGCACCTGACCGAGGGAAAGATTTTTGATTCTCGCCTGTTGGTTTAAAGGGAATCACCGCTGTATTGTTTTCTCTTTCGGACACACTTCAGCAAACGGAGGGGGTCCCTTACACGTTCTTTTCCGGGGGGTTGGTTCAATCCTGCAGGATACACCACCTGCGACTCGACCATGAAGAGCACCCTTGACAAGCTGATCCTTGAGCCAACGACCACTCTTCTCACCACCACAGTCATTACCACCACCCAGACAGCCACGCTGCATCCAACAGCCGTTCAACTCCAGGAAGGGCTGGGGGTTTTGCTTCTTAGGCCCCAAAGTCGGGGTACCTTTTTCGTGGCTTGTTCAGAGGAAATCAGAAGGACACCGGTCCATGTTGGGGTGTCCTCTCAAAGAAAGACAAGTTCAAGTCCTTGGGGCAACCCAACGGAGGTTGAGACTGTTGCGCATGTTATTGTTTTTTGTTGGGCAGGGGGCCTTTTGAAGCGTTCCAAGCAGGAGTGCTTAGCGGCAGTGGAGAGCATCAACACGACGCTTTCGAGCTGTAGCTCCGAGTACGACGCCGCAAAGCAGGCCGCGGATGCCGTGTGCCTCAACTTCCACTTCAAGACAGTGGTGGATGCCAAGGCTGTGGATGGAACTGGCCAGGGATGTGGTGGAACCACCCTGAAAACCATGAAACCACCCTGAAAACCATGGAACCACCCTGAAAACCATGAAACCACCCTGAAAAACATGGAACCACCCTGAAAAACCATGAAACCACCCTGAAAACCATGGAACCACCCTGAAAAACATGGAACCACCCTGAAAACCATGGAACCACCCTGAAAAACATGAAACCACCCTGAAAACCATGAAACCACCCTGAAAAACCATGAAACCACCCTGAAAAACATGAAACCACCCTGAAAACCATGAAACCACCCTGAAACACCATGAAACCACCCTGAAAAACCATGAAACCACCCTGAAAAACATGAAACCACCCTGAAAACCATGAAACCACCCTGAAAAACCAATGATTTCTGGGGGTTCTGAGGTGAGAGACCACCATGGGGTTCGGCCATTTTGAACCTCTACTTGAAGGGAATCATCTCTACGCAGTGTGGTTGTGGCTTTGGGGGTTCTGCCATGTCGAAACAAAGCCATGGAGGGTCCCATGGATCCAGGGGAAAATCCTCAAGATCCCTGCGAAATGGTAAGGAACCCCCCATGAACCACCAACATCATGGGCAGAACATGTTGTTGGCTTTTGGAGCGTTTGATTTGGCTTCTGGCTATGACATTGACCGGATAGATGCGTGGTTTCACGTCGCACAAGGCAGGCCAAGAAAAAGGGAGTCTGAGCAGATTCCTTTGCACCTGGAACCGGTTTAATTCGGTTCCATCGCTCTCAGGCTGAGAAGTGCAACGAGACCTTCTCTGGCAGCTACGAGCAGTTCCTGGAACGCGATGTGCAAATCCTGGCGGACTACATGGCCAAAAAGAGCAACTGCAGCAACTTCACTGAGCTGGCCGACACCAAGGCGGGATGCCCGGAACCAGAAGTAGATGTAGAACAACATGTTTGCCTTTGATGGCATGGATGTGAAAGAACGCTTTAACAATGAATAATGGACAACTCAGTTCGGCTTTCTTCCTTTTTTGGGTCTGGGAAACGTGGCCGCTGCCCAACCAATAAAGAAGCACACCCAACTGGTTCTTGATTGCTACAAGTCCTTTGGCGGCGCTTTGGTGGCGCTCTTGGGATGCGGGGTGTTGCAGCGGTTGGAGGTTTTCGGGCTGTCAGGCGGCGGCGTGTGGCCAGATCCAGTCCAGCTTGACCGCGAAGCAGCTCGAGTGCTCGCAGATCGTGGTGGTCACGACGACCGCCAGCGCGAGTGTCGCTACCACCACCCAGGAGGGTCTCAGGGGGTCTCAGGGGGTCTCAGGGGTATGGCGGTCAAAACCAATGGGATCCCATTTCGGGGTAGGTGAATTCAC